AGAGCTTACCTCACCTAAAATGAAGAAAACATGAGAAAATGAAGAAAGACCTAGTACACCGATTTGAGAAGCTCACATGAAAAATACATTGTTATCATATGATCCAGATATTTCTGTTAACCTAGTGTTAGAATTGTCTTCTTGTTATAAAATCTTAATCATGCGATCACAATGACGAATAGCAGAATTAAATGTATGTTCAGATGCCACACGACAACATGGCATCAAACTTGTTCTACAACAGAACTTGTGTGTGTAAAACGTTTTAGTCTCCCACGGAAACATACAGAGCCCCTAAAGGGACATGGGAAAAAAAGAATCGACTTTTGGACAGATAGCTTTCAGCAACTTTGATTCTCTAAAGATAAACTTCAAAGGATCCCATTTAGCTGAAATCTCAGGAACTTCCTGATGTCCACAAAGCTGCCTCAGTTAAAATCCCAAGACAAGAGTTTGGAGGTTTGGAGCATTATAGATTTGTAGGAGTTGTAGGACTGATAATAATGTAGGGCAAACAAACAAACAGAGGAAGGAAAGACAATTTGATTAAAATTGAAATCAATTGAGATTTTGTATTTGTTACTGGCTCTGGGGGTCTTTGGTTTTAAGATTCTGAAGCACATTGTCCCAAGTTTGAGTACATTTGTATTCCTGTACAAATATCACGTCATATTTCCCAACTCTAATCCTTTCCCCTTTTCCAACAGTGCGCCATGAATTTGATTTCACAAGAAATTACTTCATGATTAATAGTTGCTCAGTCATTAGTTTTTAGAGCCCCTACTTGAAAGTTGTAATGTTGCAGCATCACGACACTACATTTGAGTTTACACAATGTCTGGTTGGAAACACTCCAGGAAAGGGAGGGGGAGTGTAAATGTTGGATTGTTACAAAATGAGGAGATGTGACATTTATTAAATGTGTGTTGTAAAATTCTAATTGTTGTTCTTTAGATGCTCTTTTGGATGGTTTTTGCAGCTGTATGCAAAAGGTTAAATCCTTCTTTTTTTTGAAGAGAACAAAACTGATGATCTTTTATTTAATTAAAGGTTTTAGGCAACTCAAAAATAGAAAGTGTTGCTCCATAGTCAAAGTCATGCACAGATAATCACAATATGGAAACATAAGGTTTGGCCTTTAAGTTTGATGCTTTCGAAAATAATTGTAAATTAATCCTTGCAATGTCCTTATGTCTTTACAGAGTTCCCACCTGGCCCTCATTGATACCCTGATGATGGCGTACACTGTGGAGATGGTGAGTGTGGAGAGGGTGATGTCGTGCATCAACAGGTACTCCTCCGCCGACCCCTCATACGGTGACGGACACATTCAGGAGCTGCCGTATGACACAGAGGATGCTATCGCCACCTGGATCAACAAGGTACACACTCACCGAGGATCATGTTGTGTGCTCATAAAACCACAAGGACATGTGCTTTCTTATTTCAGAGGGAAACAACTGTACACTTTCTTAAGCCTTTTAAAATACGACACACAGTTCTTTGTTTGACTCCGGATAAGGAAGACACGAACAGTGCTGGAAAGTGTGTCAGCGCTGGTTCAAAATCTCATTTTTGCAAGGGAACTAGATGAAAAACTAACAACAAGTAATCCTGCCACAGAGATTAGAAGAAGATAACTGACTAAACCGAACTCCTGTGGTTTGCTAAAGCAGGATATAGAGGTTAAAGTCAGACCTGGACTGGGCTGTAAAGCTTTAAGAGGGCCTTAGTTAAGTCTCATTGATTGCATTTTTACTTTACTTCATCATCTTACAGATTGTTTAGTCACTTCAAATTGCTTTCACTGATTTTGCTTTTCACCGTTTTTCTCCAAAAATGATGTTGGCTAAATTCTACTTTGTGTAAAATAATGAAATATGCACCAGCATGACATGAATGAATCAATTAAATGTACAATAGTCATTGAAATTCTTTCCTGAATAAGCTCATGTGCTTGCTGTTCTCTTTTCCAGTCCACAGACACACAGGCAAGATTCATCTACAGACACACACGTTTAAAAAAAACACATGGGCGATTGTCTCTCTGTTCAGCACTGAAACGTAGCACGCCATGGTTCGAATAATACAAAATGTGTGTACTGCAAGCCAAAATGTTACATCACTGTTTGTTCAGAACCATTGAAGACAGTAAAGCAGTTATCGTGAAAAGGGGACTTTAAAATACTTTATAGAGTAATCTTTTTAGTTTTTTCTACTTTGGACTTGAGTATCAGGTTACAGTGATATTTAGCATTGGTGGCTAATAGGTAGGTTTGGTGGTGAAATGTTTTTCTTTGATGTGTGGAGCCTCTTGTTCTCATGTTCAAGTTTCCCCTCTCTCCACCACAGACTCGCCCATTCAGTCTCTCAGTGTCTGAAATGTGACCTTGATCTCTGCCCTCCTGTCTGTCTGCCTGTCTGTCTTTCTCCAGGTGACTGAATACTTAAGGGACATACTTGTTGAAGAGCAAAAGCTGAGAGAAGCTTCCATTCAGGAGTCAAACTCAACAACCAACAAAGTAAGAACACATACTTACACAAACCGTTACTGAAATAACATTGTGTTTTAGGGAAATTCCCCAAAGATTATTTAGCCTAGTATAAAGACTCCAAACAAAGGAAACAGCTAGCTACCCGAAATCATCAGCTTCTCTAAAGCTCACAAATTAACACTTATTATCGGCTTTGTTTAATTTGCACAATAAGCTAAATGTAATGTCCTCTAAATCATTAGAGGACATTGGAAGTCACTGCTGCCAAATGTTGTTGTTGGGTTGTGAGTGAGCAAATACAACACAGAAAATACAGCATGATCATTTGTGAGCTATGTTTTTTTTCATCAATTTTGGTAATTTCATGCTTTTGTGGAATGAGAAAGGAAATGAGGGAAAAGAGAGTACTGTAGATACATGACATGCAGCAAATGTTCGAGCCTGCAGATAAATGAACCAGAGACTTCCTTCTCAGGGCAGTGGTCCCATGTGGTATGCGCCCTAATCCCTCGGCTATAGAATATGAGTCTTCTAATTTATCCCTCAGCAAGAGAGCTAACAAGTATATTTCCCCAAGCAATTCCTTCAGAAACGGCAATAAAAACATAAACATGACTTGTAATCATTAATGTCTGCATCTTATTTGATGTATTGTCTGATTCTTAAACTTGCCTTTTGTCAAGTTGATAGGAGACTTACAGTAAATCACCCGTCTGTTGATATTAGATTTGGATTGTTTCCTATTTTACTTATAGACAGTAGCACAGGTTTAAGTCCACACACACACATACAGCGCAGCACACAGAGCTCTGTAAGTCAGAGGAACAGATGAGCTCAGTCTCAGACCAGCTGCAGAGAAATGTTGTCAAGAGTCGCTGCTAGAGGAGACAAATACATATGAAACAGAGTGAGAAGAAAAGTGAGGAGGGAAAATCAGAGAGAGGGGAACGGGAGAAATGACAGCAGAGGGGGAGACATGGAGAGAGACACTTAGGAACTCTGCCAGCTGTAGCTAAAGAGAGTCAGTGACAGACAGAGGCAGTGTTGTCATCCTGCAGGCTTCAGAGTTATGTAAGGTCCATGTGACACAACGAGGCTGCTGGGACAAACACACAGCGGCCAGCTACTGTCCTCTTCCTCTCACTTACCCATAAGGCCACAGCACAGTGCCTTATGAGGTCATGACCCCCGCCTCGGGCCTGTGCTCAACAGCAGTGACAAAGGGGTGAACAAGTGGAAATATACATATGATCTCACTGCGAGCATGTGTACGCAACAACAAATAGAACTGTGGCAAATTGAAATGGGTTGGTTAACTTCCTGCCATTCAATATCAAGTTAAAGAGATAAACATGCCATGCTAGCTACTAAAGGCTGTCCTTACTGTAGATGCAGGGGTGCTTTCGGCCCAATGTTAATGCTAGCATGGCATACAAATGGTAAAATGCTGATTTTTCAATAAAATGTTTACTTTCTTAGTTTAATATGTTAGCATGTTAACGCTTTCTAAGTGTGTGAAAGTAATGAGATCGCTTATGTTATAAAAAATTATCCTGCAGGAGACTTTAGACTTAATTACATAGCAATTCATCCAATTGTTGTTGAGACATTATACTCAAATCAACAAATGTCAACCTCATGCTGACGCTAGAGGAAACGTCAGGATACCAAAAGTCAGTAGAATTCATCCTCTGAGCACCAAGAGTCTTCAGTCTGGACCTGATTTGTGGATTGATTGACAGACTGACATTGCTAGAGCCACACGGGAAGCTGAAAAATCCCACGTTATCGTAGACAAAACTGTTTAAATACTACAGATTGTAATATGCTCACATGCTGTCCCCTTGAATCACTATTAGTTATCTCTTTAAAGAGCTGCAAGATATCACGAGTGGCTAAATTAGATTTAACGGAGCTTTTATCTGCAGTGGGAGTTTCTTGGCAAATGTTCATTGTTTTCTTTGAGGCGTATAGTAAGTGTGATCCCTGCCTGCAAGTGATTGGCCTGTGAGCTGATAATACACATACGTTGTGTATGCTAGACTCACATATACACTCTCTCTGGCTTTGTGAAAGGCAACCAGTTACAACAAGGGAAGAAGAAGGTATTTTAAAAGTGTGAGGAAACGCTGTACACTCAGTGTCAGTCATCTGCTTTCTTACTGCACGCTCCATCACACAGCATTACCAGCCTCAACAGAAGTTCATTCACTGACGAGAAGATTCTTTCACACACACATATGCCTTTAAAAACACACACACTCATGGATGAGCACAAGACACTACTCAGATCTGATCTAGTCTATTCTGGGACTGTGTGAAAAGTCTTGGTCTTGTGACTAAGTGCAGCATTTGTGGGTGGATTCTGTGTGAATATAAGCTTGTGGTTTGTATTACTTTTCATAAATTAGGTTATTTTTGGTACCATTTGTCAACTGGTTATTAGTTTCCAATATATGATACACCTTCCCTGGGATTTTAATAACAACAAGATAAATATCTTATCGTCTTGGAATAATTGCTATGAAATGACCAGATGTTTGTGTTCCCCCCGACAGTTTTTATTAGCCAATTAGCATACTAGCAAGTTAAAACTAACAACTATTGTGTTGTAGAGCCTTATTAGGAGAGAAATGCAACCAAAGGTCAACAATCACTGTGTTTACAGTTACCATACCATTAGCTATAGAAACAGTTAATGGACTCCCTGAAGAGGGAAGGCTGTGTTCTGTGTTTTGGATGAGACTATGCCCATTGTATTAGCTTCTTTTACTGTAAGATGATGCAAGGGCTACGCTTTTTAGTTAAATGCCTTCATCTTTAAAAAATCATTGGTTGAAAATACAAAGACTGTTTTAGGAAAGAACCCTTTGAGTCAGACTTTTTTTGGAGAGCCTTTGGGAGACAAAGTTACTTGTGTATTCTCATATGTAATAAGTTTATGAGAAATTCCTTAAAATGTAAAGCAGTCTTTACTAGAGTAAAGAGAGGGGTTGTCCCACCGTCTCAGCTGTATAGTAGCAAACATTTTGTTGTTGTCACCCTAACGCCTCTCCCACTCTCTCCTGTTGTCGTCCAATCATCATCCACCATCAAGTCTCCTAGCAAATGGTACTGGAGATTAGTACCTGTAAGTCCATCCATTCTGAAGAACTCTTCTTCACCAACCTCCACCATCTAACTCTCCTCTGTCTAATCCAAAACCTGCAAGGATACACCCCTTCACATTGTCCCCTCCAAATCTCTCAATGCATGTGGCCCTGAGCCCCATCATGCATTGCTCTGATACCTCCCACATTACCCCACCCGGCCCCCTGTCTTCACATGCCTATGAATCTGATTGAATGATATAATAACCATTTTAAACTTAGCCCTATGGTCAGAAACTTCACCTGGAAGAGCAGTCCTGTAGCATGATCATTTGAATACTGGGAATTAGCCAATGTCTCTTGTGTTAGACGTTTCACTTAACACATATTAAAAACTAATGCTAGTACCCCGGAATTGTTAGCTACCATTTTTCCTTTTTTTTAATGTAGCATTTATATTGTCTGTGTTAGGCATTAAAAGCACATTTTGTTAAGGATGTAATACCAGTTCATATAAACCAAATCTAATTAAAATAACAACATTTTGTTATTAAGAGCTTGATGTACGAACACAGACAGAGACGCTGTCAGACAGTGAAGGCTGCTGCAATGAAAGCTTCCATCGAATTTCTTGTCAAACGCAAACTCGACGCCACTCTTGTGATTTAATTGGTAAACTTGATTCCTTGAAGATTTATGTAGCAGTGTTGTCTCTGTTTGTTATAGGCCCAGAGAGACAGGAACAGAAAAAGCATGAATGCACTCACGTAAATTATTAAACTTTAGATCCCACGTTGATGTATAATGTGGACAACAATTGAATTGTTGGATTGTGTTCCTTTTCTCCTTCTAAAAAAACCTAACCACTCCTCAGAATCAATCAAAGGGAGCAAAATAGTGCTGTGGTGTTATAATTGCATTTTTTCTATCCATTTATATTAAAGATGACAAAGTAAATCCAGATGTTTATTATTTGCATGATGAAATTAATCTGTAATATTTGAGTTTAGCCTGAAGCCCACCCTATGCTTGAAATTAACACCTACTACATGATTAAGTTGTCTGTGCACCGGTGCATGCAGATGGAGGTGTGTCTGCAGATGTTTGCACCAACAATCAGAGAGCCAGCTGTACGTTTACATCCGATGACACATATAGGTGATGTCTTTCTGCCGTTGCCATGGTTTCAGGCTCGCTGCAGGCGGGAGCAGGCGCAGCAGATGAGTGCTCCGTCACTCCCCCTGGTGGAGAACCTGCTGAAGGACAACACAGACGGCTGTGCCCTGACCGCCCTGCTGCACTTCTACTGCCCACAGGCCATCAGACTGGAAGGTGGGAACAACTCCTAAATATGTTACTACGCTCTTTTTATTGTGATATTCCCCAAAAGTAAACAGACTGGTCTATAGTTGGTCCAAATATACAATAAGAAATCATAAAGAAATAGCATTGAATGAGCTAACCACAATGACTTTCAGTCTCAACTTGAACTCACAAAGGTTGCTCTTCTCTGCTCTGACTTCATACATCTGAATAAAGGGCTTCAAACAAAGAGTATATTTATCATCAGTGTGACTCATTTTCTGAGGGCTTTTGCCTTTTGAATACTTAAGAAAGTCAATTCAATAAAAACAAATAATGGTAGTGTAGCAGCCTTTTCAGGAAATGTTTTGACTTTCTATAGATACATTTAATGATATAAATGGAGGGTATTGTTAAGCATGTTGACCTAAGAAAGACACTGAGAAGAAGAGAGGACTGAGGACAGACATGGAAAACAAAGCTGTGTTTCCTCTTAAGTTGCCTGCACCCTCATTTCTATAAATGCCCTGGGTTGGGTTGCGTCGGTCACGAGGGGTGTGTGACGGAGGACCGTTAGAGGAGTAGCTAGCTGCTATTTCAAAGATAAACAACTCTCATGCCGGCACTCTGAGACTCTTGGGACTGAATGTGGTTCACGGGGCGCTCATACACATGTGGACCAGATGTGGAAGCTAGTTAATTTGTGCTTAATTTACTCTAAGAATAGTAAAGAAGTACATAATGACATAATTTCCAGAGAAATCAGCTGCTGTAATGTTTGGTTGTCTGTTTCCTCTTTGTTAACATTATACACATGCATGGGCCGTCCTCACAGTAACGTCAGGGGATAAAGATCCTGATGATTCATCTAGAGGGAGTTTGAAAACTTGAGTCATAACTGTTGAAGGATTGTGAGCGATTCAAATCAGCCCCTGCTGCTAATACTAGTGGGAAAGGCAGTCTCACTTTAAATGTAAACTATGCCTTATCTTTTCCTTGTCTTCCTGCCTGGCCCTTGCTATCACCCCTCCCTCGTGTGTGTTTGTGTCTGACCCCTCCCCTGGCGGAGCAGATATCTGCCTCAAGGAGACTATGTCTTTGGCTGACAGTCTGTACAACCTCCAGCTGGTGCAGGAGTTCTGCAGGAACAACCTCAACCACTGCTGCCACTTCAGCCTGGAGGACATGCTCTATGCACATGCATCCATAAAGGTAAGACCTGAGTTCAAATATATAAAAAGAGTTGTATGGGAAGGATTTGGAAAAAAGTTATTTTTATAATGCTGAGTCAGTTGAAGAAAGAAGGAAAATAAAAGTGTTTTGGGGAATAAGGAGGAATAGGGGGGGGGATTACAAGTAGGCAAAAATTAGTCATGCAAAGTAAAGTTGAATAAAGAAAGTGAGCAGACTCGGTTGGGCTTATTGCTGTGTGGATGTATGAACCGGGAGAAATCCTTTTGCTACAGTGAATATTGCTTTGCAGGCACATTAGAATGAATATGACAGGCTGTGTGTGTGTGTGTGTGTGCGTGCTTCTCTAGTACATACGCTGCAAGCCAAATTACCCCCCCTCACCCCCTCTCAGACAGAGGACAGATTCTGCTCAGAGGAGATTCACAGTCCTGACCCATCTCCAACTGCCTCCCTTGTTCTCTCCCCCTCTGTTTTTATCAGACAACAAAATATGTGATCCTCAGAGATCACAACAGTGTATTTGTCTTACTCAGTCCTCAGGCTGAGATCTCCCAATGTTACACACATTAGTTTCTAAATTAATAAAATACTGACTATACCACTTTAAAAGCATCTCTGTGCCGTCGGGACGTTGGAAGGAGCAGAGCCAGTGTGGGTAAATAGTATGCGGGGAGCGTGGGTAGAACAATTTGAATTCAAGTCACGGTCCAAGCTGACTGGGACTTTCCATTCTTCAAAACACAGTAGCCAGTTTTCATACTTGTGCTCTGCTTTCTCTGTATTTCCCCTTCCTTCTCATTCACTACATTGTTTATATTTAGTTTGTGGTGTTACAATTGAAAAAGTAGGAAAAGGAGGGAAGAGAGGGATACAAATGGTTGTGAAGAGCAGTAAAGAGACTGGCACCCTGCCCATGCCCTGCATCTTAACCAGGCTGTGTGTGCATGTCCATGTTTTTAATATGAAAAACAAAAGTGATGTTGTTTTACCCATTAGGCAGTTCTCTCTGGTGCCCGAATACAGAGACCCAATCTTTTGTTGTCTTTATATTCCTTCTACAAATTAAATAAGCAGATCTTATACGTCTACCAAAATGTTTCCTACATAGGAAATAGTCTTTATAGGGATCTAGAGACGTTCTGTTTATGACATGCATTTATCATAGATTCGGGTTACTCACTCGCTGCTCTGTGCATCCATCTGTGCATATGTGACATATTTAAACTAAACCCCAGATGGTGTTTTTGGCCGTTTTCATGAACCGTATGTGTTTGACATTAAACCACTCAATGGAACATGTACTGTACTAATTTAACTAAACACACCCACACCTGAGCCTGTTACCAAGCAACAGTTTGCAGGCCATGACCTCCTTGAGCTGTCAAAAAGCTGTATGATCCTACGATTGTTGCTCATTGAACATCTTAACAGCGACACTGAGAGAAGGAGTGTGACAGATGTGCTAATAGAATGATTAAATAACCACATATACGACCATATATGACTGCAGCATTAACCACAAAGGTGTGTGTGTGTGTGTGTGTGTGTTTTGCAGAGTAACTACCTGGTGTTTATGGCTGAGCTTTTCTGGTGGTTTGAAGTGGTAAAACCCTCATTTGTACAGCCCAGAGTCTTCGATCCAAACGGTACTGTGCAAGTTAATGATCAAATCAGCATGCTTTGTTAACAGCAATGATTATGACAGTTATGCATGCTAAACGATTAATAATAATGAACTCAAGGCTGCAGAAAAATAGAGATTTTCTGTCGTATGTTTCTCTCTGCAGCCTGTGAGCCTGTGTCCTCCTGTAGAAATATGGCTCCTGTGTCCAGTCCTGTCAAACAGAGCTATGCAGACAGACCTGACAGCCCAGAGAACATCCCTTCACAGGGTAACATATCTCATATCTAAAGGGGAATGGCAAAACTATTTCTTATGTGATCATGTGGGAATAGATGTCACAATGGTATATAGCGTGGATTTGTCCACACTGCTCTTTTTAACACAACTTTCTGAAAAAACTGTTTTATCTTCACTTCAATGAGGCCATCCATACAAACTTGTGTTAAAAGAAGACATAGTTGGTATTTTAGCAGGAACATGCATTACTTCAGAACAGTGGAAGAATGTGTTGTTGTGTTTTTTAAATCAGAGGCCCCCTAGTGGCTGATTTATAGACATGCACTAGCTCGTATGCTACGTTTGAGCCTTACACTTTTCTTTACATTATTAACAATACAGTATTTTGCCTACGTATTTAATCTTCATTCTCCCTGAAGCTAAAGCACTCCACTGCAGCATTTGTTGTTCTCTTGTGAAATAATGGATTTCACACATTCAGTAAGAAGCCCCTCTGTGTCTGTAACAGGTATAATGAAGAGGTCTACCTCCATGTCCTACGTGGATGGCTGTGTTGGGACATGGCCCAAAGAACATCGGTTAGTACTCAAACTCCAGCTAGAGCAGATGAAATGAAATGAGATACAAATGTGAAAAGGTCTGTTGATTCCTTGTTAAACTTATTAATAAGCTTATTAAACTCACGACACATTTCCTTCCTCCACCAGCTCCTCCTCTCGGGGAATCTCCTTTGAGATTCCTCTGGACGGAGAACCCACTCTGCCGTCCGGCGGCATGACCCGCTCTGCCAGCAGTGACGGCCTGGGGTTCAAAGTTCACTATGCATCTCGAGGGAGCATGAAACGCCACCTCTCCCTCATGCCTGTTGATGTAAATGGACAGAGCAGACACATACCAGAGGAGGATGATGAGTTCACTTCCCAGAAATCCCTGGGGCGGAGCAACACGTTCTCCATCAAGAACCAAAGCAGGTACAGCAAAGGGAGGATGTTTCCTATCCTGTATTTAAGATTTTATCCATGCAAGCACGTGCTGCGCCAGCAAGAGGTAGTATACATTAGCTGCCTGTTCACTCTAAGATGCTTTTTGGTGCTGCTCCTCAACTTTTAATAGTTTCATGTGCATGTAAACTTTATAGTATAGATAAGCACAGAATAATGAAGCTTAACACAACTTTTAGATTTAAGTTGTTCTTAAAAGTTCAAAACATTTGAAAATACTATGCTATGTTATTGTTTTTTTAAAACACAACACATTAACACTCCTACTGTAAATACCCATATACATTTGTTTTCAGCAAAAATGTGTTTGGGGGTTAAGTCACTCTTAAAGGGCTTAACTTAAAAAGTGTGTATTTTTTTTTTAACGAACTGCACGGAGAGTCATAAAGATAAGAAGAACACCCAGCTGTTTATCACTCTGGGTAACTAGAACAATTAGTCAACGTGTGTCACTGTTATCCAAGAGTTAACTTACCCAAACCTGTCTCCAGGTGCTCCAATGGAGTCCTCCCTGAAAGCAACCATAGCCACAACGATCACCATGGCAACCACAGTGGCCACATCAGCCCATCCTCCCCCCCGAGCATCGAGGAGGCGCTGAAGATTATCCACGACACGGAGAGGCCTCACGCCTGCCTCGGGTCGGGGGACGGAGACGATGGCTTCTTCCTCCATGGTGCGGAGCCGTCAGACCCTCCGGGGGCTCACGGTCCAGGAGACGACCTGGGACCAGCTAAGGCTCGGCCAAACGACCACGACCCCAACTCCCTGTCCACCGATGAAGTGGACACGGGCATCCACGTGAGGACAGAGGACATCCAGAGCTTGGATGAGGACTCCTCCTCTCTGAGAGACTACTCAGATATTGACCAAGACTGTGAGGCCATGACCCGGTCCTGTCCGCTGCCTGACCAGCCGGAGAGGGAGAGGAGCCGGCCCGGAGGAGGGGAGGGGGTTGGTCAGACTAACCCTGAGGGTGGGAGGGGGGACGGTGGGGACAGCCCCTGTCCCAGTACAGCACCCACCATCCACAGATCCCACACACTGAGCCCCGCCTCGTCCTGCGGAGGCTCTGGGGCCATGGTCCGCATGACGAGCTTTGCAGAGCAGAAGTTCAGGAAGCTGGAGGGAAGGAGCAGCGGAGGAACAACCCCAGAGAGTTCAGACCTCAATGTGCCGTACACACACCTGCCAAAAAGCTTTTCTGCTCAGGTTAGTGTCCTTTTGTGTTGCTCAATCCCTCTTTCATAAAAACTCTACTTTTGTTGCAGGGGCAGAAATGCAATTTGTAGTGAGATGTGTTTTTCTTTTCACTTTTTTCTAGATATCTACACCTCCTTTGCCAATCACATCTCCCTCTCCAGCAACGCCTTCCCCCAGAGACCCCTCCCACCTGATAGCCACAGAGATGATTCAGCTGAGGATGAAGCTGGAGGAGAAACGTAGAGCCATTGAAGCCCAGAAGCAGAAGGTAAACAGATACAGGGAAAGGAGGGGAAACAGTAGTAACGCTATACATGAATGATCATATTATTATGCTCTTTCACAGGTGGAAGCAGCGTTCACCCGCCATCGCCAGAAGATGGGCAGAACAGCCTTTTTGAATGTAGTAAGAAGAAAAGGGATCACTGCCCCCCTCAGCCCCAGCTCAGCAGCAGCAGAAGCCCCTTCCCCAGAGCCACTATCAGCCTCAAAGGAAACCAGGCAGGGCAGCATGGAGGGGGCGGAGAGATGCAAGCCAGATGGAGCAGCGCCTAGATCCCCCTGTGAGGATGGAGCAGGTGAGTAACCACAGAAAGTATGCTCTCATAAATGTAGTAAAATGCTTTAACACCAGCTCAAATGAACTGAATCATTATTTGGTGATACAGGAATGTCTCCAGGAGAAATCGACCTTACGGAATACACGCGCTCCATCGATAGGCTGAACACGTCGCTGGGCTTCCTGCAGACAGAGATGCAGCGTCTGGCCCAGCAGCAGGAGAGGATCATGTCTATGAGAGAGCAACAGCAGCAATCCTGGGTCATCCCTCCTCCTGCTCCATCTCCACACAGGTATCACTTTTGCTAAATCTACTGTTTTCTTTTTATACATAATTCTGTAAACTCATATATGACCGGGTGTGTTTTCTTGCCCCGCAGGCAGCTCCGTGAGTTGCGCAGCAGCAGTGTTACAGGCCGGGGGTCAGGTCGAGGCTCGGTTGGGTCTTTATCCCCCATCCTCTCTTCTTCAGGCTCTCCCCAAGCTCCCAACCGTTCCCCTGCTGGCCTAAAGCGGCGGCCGGCCTCCTTCCACGCCAGGACACCTCGGACTCCACGGCCAAACGATCTGAAGGTCACGCCCTTCAGTCGAATGCTCAACACCCAGACCTCAGTGGACAGCCTACCCAGACTGAGGCGTTTCAACCCCAGCCAGAACCAGAACAGCTCGTTTGCTTACCTGGGCCACGATGAGGGGCCTCCTAAAAATAGGGACCAAGAAGCCAGGGACAACAACGAAAGCACTAAGGACAAAGAAGAGGATGTGGAGAGGAAGAGTGCTGGCACTCCTCAAGCTACTAATATTGAAGCAGCCAAAGAGAGGGAAGATGAGGGCGAAAGAAAGACTCTTTTGAAGCCATCAGGCTCCTCAGAGGTGGTGAAGGAGCCTCCATCTGACCTGAGACCAGCAGGAAGAGCTCCCCTCGGTCAGGAGATGGCGGGAGAGGGAGAGGCAGGAGCAGACATGTATGGAGAAGACCAAAAGATATGCTGTGGATTCTTTTTTAAGGTGAGCTAGAGCTACATAATTATATTTAAGAGGATAATTGTTATAGTTTTATGATAATGGTTGGAAACTGGATGTGGCAGAATTGGACGCAGGTTTAGCCAGTAGCTTTAACCAAAACTAAACTAACATTACTTGATTTGGTTGCTGTTCTCACATTGTGATACCTGTATGCTGCCTTTTAGTGATTTTTTTTGTGTGGAAATGTTGTTAAAAAATATATATATAAACTTTGCCCGAAATGTCAGTGTTTATAAACAGGGCTCCCCAGTTTTGGACTGATATGTCGGCTTGATTTCTTTGTTAAAATGGGTTCCTTCTTAGCTAACCTGCCAGCCTAAATCCTTCCAGACGTGTCAGCATCAGAGCACCAATGTTTCACTTATATTAACTGATAATCACAGTTAATAAGCCTCAGTCCGTACAGCCTCGTGGGGCTATATGCATGCAGTAGGGACAGGAAGAATCTCTTACTATGTGAGCTGGGAACATGTGCAGCGTTGTGCCTGTTGAGCCATGTGCTGATCAAAGACACACATGAGTGAATCTAGGCCACACAACGCAGCAATGACAGATGCACGGTAGACCATTAGAGCTATGATTACAGAGCAATGTCAAAGCATTGTTACTTACATTACTGCCACATTAAATACCAAATACTGCCCTAACTCCAATAAATACACAGTATAGTGCTAGTGTCATGATAATTGTCATGAAGGCTATAATGTTGCAGTGTAAATATGTCTATGTACAATCTGACATGTGTATTTTTTTTTCGCCACCCATTAAACACCAGGATGATGTGAAAGGGGAAGAAGACATGGCAGCAAAGAAAGCAGCTCTGCTGGAGAAGAGGCTGAGGAGGGAGAAGGAGACTCAGGAGAAGAAGCAGGAGCAGGAGCTGGACCAGGAGCAGAAGAGGGAAGCTGCACGGTTTGTCACACTTTCTTACTCCTCGTATACTAGCCAATGCTAACAGTGTCCCATGATCTATAGCATGAATACCGACAACATTTATCTTAAACTTGAGTGTGGAGTCATACAAGGATTCATCATCCTGGTCTCCTTCCGCAGGTTGAAAGCAGAGGAGGACCAGCTGAAGAAGGATGACGATAAGGCGAGGAAGGAATACATCAAATATGAATACTTGAGGAGGAAGCAACTCAAGCTGATGGAGGACATGGACGACGTCATCAAGCCCCGAACAGGAAGTCTCAAGAAGAAGCCGAGACCCAAGTCCATCCACAGGGACGTCGTGGAGTCTGCGCCCCCCGTGAGAGCGACAGGTGAATACCATAAACACATTTCATATAAACACACACGTATCTCTGGGTGACAGCCACTGACCTGTGCTTGTGTTGCAGGGGTGCGTCCTCGAGGATTCTCAGTATCAAGTGTTTCTTTGGCATCTCTCAATCTGGCTGACAATGACAAGGATCTGCCAAATAACAAAAAGAATAACAGGTAAGGCCCATTCTCTGCCTGGATCACAGATGTAATGCTCTGTGACTTTATATAACTCTTTATAACCCAGTTAAAACAACCTTGAAGTATTTTCCTGCAGTGTGCTGCTTTGCACATTTTTAACATTGTGGTGGGTTGTATCTTATGGTCTTTAACATTATGTTCAAAGGGTTTAACTAAATATCACCTAATTTCTGCACAATATCACACTTTTATGTATTTTTATAAAGACTATAAAAAACGTTTTCAGGATTACTTTTATATTTCATTTAAACCTTTCCAAAGCTAAACTTCACAACTCACACCTTATATTCCCCTTTGTGTCACACCCTGATACCATATACTTTACCATAGATTCATTTCATGGGGTTATGTTGTTTTCCTTCTTCTTAAGTCTTGACTTTTATGAGGCTTACTTTCTCGATTCTCTTCCCTTTCTTATTTTCTCTGTTTGCATGCGTCCCTCAGAGGCAAAAAAGTATCCCATATCCCGTTCTTTCTAAACTCTCCCAAAGAAAGAAAGGGAAGGTTAGTAATGTGTACTCGATGTGGCTCCATATAGACCAATCTCCACATAACTTCCGCCTGCATTTCATGAGACATTCCTTCAACACAGACATTAGAGGGGCAGTCTCGAGAGAGAAATAATTTGACATATTCCATTTCTGCAGTATTTTCTTCTGCATTAAGGTTCATGGGACTCGCGTGGCTACACTGTTTCCGCTTCAGTTCTCCTGCTCCTTATCCTTTCTGCCTTTTGCAGTATTGCTCTCAGGCTGTTGTTTGCTCTCTTCTCTATGTTGGCTGCTCTGCACTTCTCCACTGTGTTTGCCGTTTCCTCCACGAGAACTCGAGCTCATCCCACACAGTAGCCGTAAAGACAGCACTGAGATTTGCTTTGCTTGGCTGAACATGCCTCTGTCCCTTTGCTGCACAGCTTCCTCTGAGTATGAACAGTATGATGTAATGCAAGACAACAGACAGGGTTTGAAAAATTGTGTCACAGTGTCTGACCTTGTTTTACACCATCTCTTTCTGTCTGTTTGTGTTTAATGTGTGTGTGTGACGTGCATGTCTGTTTGTGCAATTTTTCGCCGGATTGTTCCATTCCTGCTTTTTTGCATCACCCTCTACGTGTTGACTGTGTTTTTTTGTTTTGTTTTTACGTCTGTGTGTCATTTTTTTGTACGTGATTATCTACAGGCCGGACTCTGCAGAAGGCCTTTCTTCTTGTCCTTCGACTATTAGTCGTAACGGAGAGAAGGATTGGGAAGATGACTCCACCACCTCTTCCAATCCCTCCAACAATGAGTACACAGGTAGAAGACATACCTGTACACCATTTTCTAACATTAACACAATTGCTCTAAATGTCAAACCATCTAAATGTGCATTCGTCTCACAGGACCCAAACTATACAAGGAGCCGAGTGCCAAGTCTAACAAGCACATCATCCAGAATGCCCTGGCTCACTGCTGCCTGGCTGGCAAGGTCAACGAAGGGCAGAAGAACAAGATTCTTGATGTATGTTTTTATTATATGTAACTATTTCGCTGTCTGCATAACATATTCTGCACTAAACACCATATTTTTCTGTGTTTTTTGCAGGAAATGGAGAAATCTGAAGCCAATAACTTCCTGGTGTTGTTCCGTGACGCGGGTTGCCAGTTCAGGTCTGTGTACGCCTACTGCCCCGAGACGGAGGAGATCACCAAACTGGCCGGCATCGGGCCGAGGAGCATCACGACCAAGATGATCGAGGGCCTGTACAAGTACAACTCAGACAGGAAGCAGTTCAGTCAGATCCCAGCCAAAACCATGTCCGCCAGTGTGGACGCCATCACTATCGCCAGCCATCTGTGGCAAACCAAGAAGCAGGGGACGCCCAAAAAACTACACACTAAGTAGCGCCAGATGGCCGGGCAATATTTGGACAAGCTTCTCTGGAATTTGTGGATTTAGCTTTTTCATTAAAAGGACTCACAATCCCACTGTCACAAATCACAACTGGAATGTAGAACACGAGTGGGCCTCACAGACGTTGTTGTTACAGAGTTGGTTATTATGCTCTGGACTACCTTTATGGGGCACAAGTGTACTCGTCAGCATGTGTATTGATGTTCCCATGTGCCAAAAAAAGAGAAGAAAATCATAGGCGGACCAATGCCTTACCTAGTTGAACCACTGAAGCACTGAATGTCACGCCTCAGAAAGAGGCAGTTTGGTTTCTATAAGTTGTGTGGCCTTATGCTTGTTTTGTGTCAAATGGATGCGATGTGAGTGTTGTTGTCATTTGTCAGCACCTGTTTAAAGAGGTTGTGTGTACTCACAGGTCTGGGATCAGATGATGCCCCCCTCAAAAGGGTGGTCTGCCTGATCTGTGATCAGATAGAGGAGGCGTTTTTGATGAGAGTTTCGCTGCTATTAAGGCGCATTTTTTTCTTTTTTTACATGTGACTGAAAATCATATAAACATCTAAAACTTGTGTATGTGTGTGTACAGTGAAGTGCCAAGACGAGTGTGAAAAAAACCTCAGTTGGTGATTGCAATGACTTTCCAAAAGAGTATTGAGTACATGGAGTACCATGAAACAATTCTGGAAAGCACTTGCAATATACTCTTAATTTATTTCATTTTAAAAGCGACTTAGATTTTATTCAGAGAAACATAATTTACAGTACACATAAAAGGTAAATTAGTTTGTATATGATGGAAGATCCATTCAAAACTCCACTTGCAGCTTTTCAGTAGCTTTTTTAATGTATCACGTGTGTGTCCATGTGTTGTTGTTTGTGGCCTTTAATTGTGCTACAAATGCAAAAAGTGTGATCACTCACTGTTATCACTAATAGGACTATCATTAGTAGTAGAATAGACTGAATTCACACTCTGTGTCAGCAGTCTGTGCAATTTAAGAGTTATTTAAATAATCACCATTTGACCATGTTGCAGTTGGAACTAACAAATACTGAAAAATACACTTTATTGTGGACATTGATGTAATTATTAGATCATGATTACCCTTAAAGTAGTCCACAATTGTAAATAAATGAATTCACCTAGCACTTCAGATCCTGTCCACTGTCGTTGAGGCGCTTTTGCTTCAGGACCTTCATGCTTGTTGCTTCACTTTTATTACTGTTGCTTTTTTAAATCACAGGTTACTTCAGTATGTGTTGACACTGTACATATATATATTTTGGCATATAGAAATATTTTTTGTAATGACATTGACGTGTTGGAGGTTTGTACTAATGAACCAGTACAGTTGTTGAAAGATGCGAGTTAAAAGCAAAGGCATGGTGTATATAAAGTCTAAACGACTCTTTATTGTGGTATCGTATGCAAATCCATTAAGTATACTAAGAAAAACATAGTATTTTTTTCCAACTCTGAATTCATTTTTTCTTGCAATTTACAAAATATGCTCAAATGTTCATGGATTTTCATTGTTTTTCTATTACTTTGAGCTTAATTAAAATGCCAGCTATCAACAGTAACCCTTGGTGTCTTATTTATTAACTACAAGTCTTGCCGAACAACTTGCTCTCTAATTCCGTATGCCTTCGTTTAAATTGTTCTTCTTTCTTAAACCAGTGAACAGAAAAGCAACACCAATCTAATGGAGCTGCCACGCTGGACAACCTTCCAGATACATTTTTAAAAATTATTATAATGTTTTTTTTTTTCCATTTGATAGACTTGGTCCAAATCAATGCAGTATTGAGCAGGCTGCTGCATTAGCAGATAGCAGTTAGAACTGGCAGCCTCACATAATGTCTATGTGGGTTCGATTCCCGAGCCCTGTGGAAAATAGCAAAAGCAAAAACTGCACCACTGTTTGCTTGTTTAAGAAAGAAAAACATTTGAAGCAAAGGTACACATACTTATCCAACACAACAGTTCTCTACCACTTGTTCTTTACTATGCAAAGAAGTGAGTAAATAACAAAGGTTATTATCATACACCTGCAAACCTTCTTGTTTGGGCTGCACAATCACAGGGCATCACAGGCCAAGACAATTAACAAACATTTGCTCTGCAACACATGCTTTGTCTTCATTATCATCATAGCCATTATCTGTAGTAGTGAAGCTTTTTTACAGAAGATTTACTGTGTCAGATATTGCATACTATACATGTTAGCCTGTCTGCACTTTATCAGCCATATCCTCACTATTCTTTTAGATAAATAAATCAGCGGTACCCATATAGAATCAGCCTATAAAAGCTTCTGTCAGATACATTGGCATCCTCCTCAGCTGATAATTAACAACTGCACACAGAAATGCCTGAAATGTTTTGGGAAATACTACTGGTTATAACAGTTGGTCAAAGAATATGATTTTGCATAATTTGTGTAAAATATTCAGTAACTCCACTGTAATAAAGTGAAGGACTACCAACATCTCTTCACATATTAATGGTCTGTTGGTTTTATTACATGAACAAGTTATGAAATAAATATGTTTGCATAATTTTGGTAAATATGTATTTGGTAGAATACTCAATTATTAACTATTGTGTAGTGCTACCAAAATCTTGCGCAAGCCCCCAGTGGTTTGACCTTCGACCACCTTCGCCGTGATTCTCCCAGGCCCTATGCCAGCCAGCCCCCTTTCTAGGGACTGTCCCTTTACGTCCATTTACCCCTAAGCCACAGCTGCCCTATAGAGAAAGGGACAATTTGCCGTTGGGCTGTAGCATCAAAATATACTACCAAAAATAAAAATACTCATCATGCAGAGTGGCCCAATTCAGAATAATGTATTATTGATGCATTAAAGTGTGGGGAAGGTGGAGCATGTTAAGTTCAGTTTTAATGACTTTGTTAAGTTCAGTTGTAATGACTTTGTATGGTGCAGGCAGGGTAGCTACTAATTGTGTAACTAAAGTCTTATTTAAGTGTTGTTTACATTTCACATGATTAATCCAAATTTGCCAAGTAACTAAAGCTACTAAATAAATGTAGTGGAGTAGGCTACACTTTACTTCTGAATTGTAGTGTGATAGAAGTAAAAACTAGCACAACATTGACATATTCATGTAAAGAACAAGTACCTACAAAATGGTACAACAAATTACAGTGCTTGAGTAAATGTACTAAGTTACTTTACACCACTGGTTATGTATTGAATTAGTTTCTATCATGTTGTATTCCCGAGGGGAGAGAGTGTGTCAGGCTGTGGGAGGCGGTGTTCTGCAGACGGCAGCAGCAGCAGCAGGGCTGGGCAGAGAGAGAGAGAGAGAGAGAGAGAGAGACCCAGCAGGGAGGAGACACCGCCAGACAAGGAGGAGGGACAGCCTGGCAACACAGACAGCAGTCAAAATACCGAGTGGTACTCTCGGTGACAGCGTCTGTCAACATCACGGAAACACCCGGGGAACTGTTTTTCCATCCCATGCATTGTTAGAAACAGGTGAGCATTAAGCGCAGCGGGTTGTGTTGTTCTCGGCTGTCAGTGCGCACCGCCCTGCTAACTAGCCGAGGATGCCTCTCTCTCTCCTCGGCCTGCCTAGCTCCTCTGCTCCCCTCTAACTACCAGCTAAATTAGCCTGCTTTATGTGAGCTCTGACGGTAACTAGCTGTTTTTGGTTTCGCTATAATCCGGTGGGTTAACTCAGAGGTTATGTAGCGCTAACAAGTAGCCTAAGCTTCTTATCATGTTTGACTTGAGGCTTAGAGCCCCAGTGTTATTAGCTAACCATCCCTCATGCTAGTTTAGCAGCACTGCAGTGTTTTGCTCTTTGATTACTAGTAAGCTAGGCAAAATGGCTTTCTTTTAAGTGTTGATGTTTTATTTTTTTATATATAGATGAATTAGAGGATACGTCCTGTCTTGAAAAAATATGATAAGATAATTCTCTCCTCTGTAAACAACGAGTTAAGCTCAGTTACATACAGCTGTTGCTGTCTTGTTTCACCAACATCTGTTGACTTTGTAACATGTTATGGGCAGAATATCAGGGGGAATGTGACTAATATATGGCAGACTGTCCTCATGTTGACATGATTATCTGATAACAGAAAAGCTGGACTCTTAATAACATAAATTGTACTGTATTATAAAGTTGTATGATGCTGTCATAAATTGTCAAATCAAATACTGAAGAACATTAACATATCCTCTAGTCCAGGGGTCTTCAACTAAAATTCAACGAGGTCCAGTTAGAGAAAATCTCCCCATGCAAATGTCCGGAACATCAAAATGTCTAACTTGCTTCATGAATTAGTGTGATATATATTGAAGTGACCTGTAGCTTTATCAACGTCTGCATGTAATCAACAACTGACTGCCAATCAAATAAAGAAAGTACAATTCAAAAACAACAATATGTATTGTCAATTAACATTGAACTACACAGATATACAGTAACATACTGTGGATATGTGTAATGTTCCTCTCGGGCTGCATTTCAAAAATAAAATAGAGAAAAAAAAAAAAATAGCTTTTGAAAATATGTGCATCTTAAAAGTGCTTAATTTTAGATAATTAAAATAAAGTGTAGCAGCAGCTTGAGAGTCCCTTTTTCTTTGTTAACCGTTTCACATCATGACTTAACAGTTTCAGACGATTATAGAACAATATCAGTCTTTACACATCATAAGAATTGAACAGTTTTAAAGTTTCTCTTTCTTTCCCTCTTATATTGCAGTCCCTCACTCACTTTGTTTAAATTCAGTGTGAGAATTGAGCTTGAGCTTGTCCTGCCAGGAGTTTGTAAATCTGGGCTGACATGGAGTCAGGGCTATTCTCATACACATGCAGGTGCTCATTGGTTTCAGTGATGCAAACACAGATGGTGAAAAAAGAGAGAACTATTCGAAGCAGAAAAAAAAACAGTGTAATATACCATCTGACAAAGGCCTGTGCTATAATGCTTCAATTAACTGGCTATTCTTTAATATACTCAGATCAATAGGAGACAGAGATGTTAAGTTAAAAATCAAGGGTTTTTATTATTATTTACAGCAGGGGTGGGGAACCTTTTTCCTTTCAATTTTTACAACATCCTCCGAGGGTCGTACACATTATTGAACTCAACCTCTGCTTAAAAAAACCAAAATCACAGCCCATTCATTTGGCCTTTCTTTCATGCTGTGCAAAGAAAAAGCAACCTCTTAATCCAGATATCTTACCATGACTCACGCATGCATGCATGTGCACGGTTGTGGCATGACCACCAAAACAGAAAGATATGGACACAAGATGTGTGCAAATGTATTTAGTATCCTATCCATGTGAACATGATTTAAGTGGGGGGGGACCTAGACCTCCTCTAGGGGGGTCCGGGGGCATGCTCCCCCGGGAAGATTTTTTTTTAAATATTGAAGTTAAAAGCATCAATCTGGTGCACTTTGAGAGCAACATTAAGAGATCTATGGATACATCTCTCAACACCCATATGAAACAGAACTGTAAGCATATTTTTCTTTTGGGATATTTTACAAATCACTCTCCTTTCAAACTCTATTCTTGTTATTTTTAACAAGTTTTTTGTTACTGTCATATAGTATTGTATACCTGTTTTTCATTTAGTCTCATTAATAACTATATTGATCATATCAAGGTGTGCCTTAACCTCACTGAGCTGAGGTTATTTGAGCCTCTCAGGAGAGAGCTCTCTTCCACCTGGTTGTATAAAAGCTCTTTAAATTCGTTAGCATAGCTAGCTAACCAGATGCTAATAACAACAGATCGCCACTGTGCTTACAACTAAAGACACAGCCACGCAAACACTGCGGCATGTGTACGGCTCTTTATGGGTATTGCAATATTTTAAGGGCTGGAGCGGCGTTCCGGTGCTCTCTGTCAGCACTCCTTTCAGACGAGACATATACCACGTGAAGACACGTTACGCTTGTGTTGTGTTCAAGGAACCTCTCCTTGGCCAGGAAAAACAGGTAGTCGCTTGTTTAATTATTTTTGCGGGCTAGATTTCTTCTTCTTTTTTTCAGTCAGACGGACAACTTCCCCCCCCCCCCCCCACCCCCAAAACGAAAACTCTTCGGTTCTCCACGAATTACACAAGTCATCCAAATCAGCGTTAAAAAAGCGGGAGGGCGCCGAAAAATCCCCTATTAATGTATTGATTATAGCTCCGGGTCCGTATAGGTCGGTGTCTGGGTCCGGATCCGGACCGCGGTCCGCCTGTTGCCGACCCCTGCTCTAGTCTAAGCAGAGGCTTCAGTCCATCTGGACAACACTAATTTACTTGGTGGCCTAAAGATAGAGTTAATATGCATACATGTGTTTGTGTAGAAAATCAAAACAGACTCCTGTCAGGTTGTTAAACTCTTCTGAGGAGAGGTAATGTCAGATTTGTGACTTTGCATATTAGGTTCATACAGTACATTGAGTTTATTTTTATTTTATTTAATAATGATTAAATGTAACATGCAAAGCGAGGCACTTTAAATCTCCGATGCATACAGTTAGAATCCACACATATTTATTGTGTATTTACACATAAACACATATTTATAATTATTTAGTATCTTTCCAGTCTAATCATCTGGTTGCCATTAAACAACTCCACTAAAACACCTGCATTATAGATGCTGTCTTCAATATGGCTAAAATCATTAGCACAGTATCAATAAGGATATTTTCTTATATTGACGTTTGTCTAGATGCGGCATAATAACTTAAGAGGAATCAAACTGATGTTAACTGTAAAGCATTGAACTGTGTCATACATTTATGCGTTACTTTAAGACATGTTCAAATGTACTGTACAAACTGTTGTGTTCTGGTTTTCTTTTGCTGTGTGTGTGTGTGTGGTTGTACCTTACGAGTATTTTTGCTTTATTGCCCTTGTCATTGGTAGTCGTCACCATGACAGCGGAGGAAACCATAAATGTGAAGGAGGTGGAGATCATCAAGGCGATCCTGGACTTTCTCCACTCCAGGAAGTTACACATCAGCATGCTGGCTCTGGAGAAGGAGAGCGGCGTCATCAACGGGCTCTACTCAGACGACATGCTCTTCCTCAGGTAGAAGAACTCAACACCTACACCAAGCCGTCTGGATACATGAACTCCAAAAAAGCTGCCTACTATGAAGCAGAAACAACAGGCAACTGTTCCAGTCATAAAGTTTAGTGTATCTGATAGTGTCCTCTACATTAGGATAATGTAACACTGCTCAGCTGCTGTGGTCGTGGGTGCTCTCCTGAAAGTCAGCCAACAGTGTGTTGCCTGAAACTACTCATCTTTGAGTATTAAATACATCTTGGTTTTTCACCTTCTAGTGTGAAGTATTGATTAATAGTGTGTCTCACCTTGTCATGGATCCTTTTATTAGGAGCATATGCTATCAGGGTGTCAGAGATTCTAAAAATGCATTGCTCTTCAATTTTAAATTATATAAATCATTTAAGTTACAATTTTGTGGGACACAATAATACAAGGACCTAATTTCCCTTATTTCCTGTTTATTAAAAATAAACTTTTTTTTTTATTTCCAGGCAACTGGTGCTTGACGGCCAGTGGGATGAGGTCTTGCAGTTCATTCAGCCTTTGGAGGGCATGGATAAGTTTGACAAAAAAAGGTGCGTTCACTGTGTGTCACTTTCAGTATGTTCATGTATCCTTTGTTGATTTTGAGATGGACTACAGAAGCAAAGCTAGACACAAACAGCATCAACTCAATGTCAACTGTCATGTCTGCAGGTTTCGTTACATCATCCTCAAGCAGAAGTTTCTGGAGGCTCTGTGTGTGAATAACGCCATGTCTGCAGAAGATGAGCCTCAGCATGTAAGTCCCTAAACTTCACCAGTTATCAGTATTAAATGATAAAGTAACAACACAGCCTTGTATTTCCATCTTGTTAAATAGCAGTTGTTACAGCGCTGCTTTGTCTTCCCACTGACTCTCACTGGTTGTCATGGCAGTAAACACGAAGGCTCAATCTCAAAGACAAGAAGAGAAACAAACAGTGTTGCTCAGTATATGTCGTTTAACTGCAGCTCTGCAAGTAATCTGAACACATCCCACCATCTTTGAGAGAGAGGAGAAGGTTTTGTGTTTGTGTAACCTCAGCAGTGGCTGCATTTGCATGCAAGGAGTGACGTGTCTATTGGCCTCACTGCAGTGGAGGATTTATCAGGATTAAGCTGTTTATGTGCGCTTCTGATACTGTGATCGACTGTCTGTGTTAGAATAACCCTTTTAACAGAACATTTCCCATAGTACAGTTCACCTGTGATGTTCCACCCACAGATACAACTTTTTTTTTTTAACCAACTCAACTCATATTGCTTGGCTAGTTTAAAGATGCACAGAAATCGAAATTGTGTTACTGAATAATGCTCAACATTTACCTTATTTTTCATGCTGTTCAGAGAGAAGCTTCTACTCAGTCCTTTGTAACAACCTGAAATGCCTTTTGTGTTTTGTTTAGTTGGAGTTCACCATGCAGGAAGCAGTGAAGTGCCTCCACGCCCTGGAAGAGTTCTGTCCCACTAAAGATGACTACAGCAAACTGTGTCTGCTCCTCACACTGCCCCGACTCACAAACCATGCTGAGTTCAAGGCAAGAATTATGAAACTGGATCAACAGAAATATTACATTAGTAAAGAATAGAGTATGCTTTATATATATGTGTGTATATATATATAAATATTCTTGTTTGTTTTTTGCAATTTGCTGAGACTCGAAGACAACTACAACTACGACAACTATTTTCATTCTCAATTAATCTGCCAATTATTTTCTCACTTAATCAATCAATTGTTTTGAAAATTGTAAAAAGGTAAATCACAGTTTCTTATCATAGGTTTTCAGTTTAATATGATACAAAAACTGAGAAAAGCCGGACATCACCATATATATCAAATATCATATTAATAAGTATTTTCTGCCATTTCTGTATAACATTAACTAAGGATTTATATTATTAGGATATTTGGCTCTAGCAGTATTTCTTTTTATTTTCTTGTGCACTTATCTTCAAGTTTAATTGAATTCGCTTACAAACAATACAGTGTTTTGTTAATATTTGTACTTCCATGTGTTAATTCGTATTTCTCTGCTGACATTCTGCAGGAATGGAACCCGAGCACGGCCAGGGTTCAGTGTTTCGAGGAGGCCTGCAACATGGTGGCTGACTTCATCCCTGCAGACAGGAAGCTGAGTGAGGCTGGATTCAAGGCCAGCAAGGACCGACTGTTCCAGCTGCTGCTAAAGGGAGTCCTCTATGAGTGCTGCGTGGAGTTCTGCCAGGTCTGAACCAGTGAAACCAAACACACAAACTGTGGTCTAATCTAGTCAACAGATGGGTTTGTGTAAAGTTTGCAGACGATTAAACCTACATGTTGTTGTATCTCATCTCCAGAGCAAGGCGACGGGTGAGGAGATCATGGAGGGTGAGGTGCTGGTGGGGGTGGACATGCTCTGCGGTAACGGCTGTGACGACCTGGACCTGTCCCTGCTCTCGTGGATGCAGAACCTGTCCCACACTGTCTTCTCCTGCGCCTTCGAACAGAAGCAGCTCAACATCCACGTGGACCGCCTGGTCAAGCCCACTAAGACGGGCTACTCTGACCTGCTCACCCCTCTCATCAGCAAACTGTCCCCTTACCCCTCCTCCCCCATGCGCCGCCCGCAGTCTGCCGACACCTACATGTCCCGCTCGTTGAACCCAGCGCTGGACGGGCTGTCCTACGGGCTGTCCGGCCAGGATAAGAGAGCGAGCGGGGGGGAGGCAGCGCCGGGGAAAGGAGTCTCTCCCATGTCGCACTCATTCGCCAACTTCCACTACCCCGGAGCAGGGGGGCAGAGCCGGAGTCTCATGATGGAGAGCTCCGACTGCCACAGCATCTTCGAGGAGTCACCTGAAACGTAGGAGGGCCACATTTTTGTCCGTTTCTAGTTTAATGCAATTCCTCTGATTTCTCAATTCAGAGATGATCAATTGCCTTTAAGCCAAGGACCTAAGGGATAGATCATTTACCAGGGACCCCCTAATAGCGTTCCCTTTGAATGACTTGATGTATGCAATTGTAATGTATATATAAGCTAAGTTGTGTAAAAAAATTAAACAAGAAAACATTTTGGAATGGTATTGAACATATTTTTAAAATATTTTAACCATCGCAACAGGGAATACACATTAAAACAATGCATCTTGATCAACTCAATCAGCTGCAAGCAAGAAAATAGTATAGTCAAATATGAAGAAATTGGCTAAATTGAAGTGCATTTCAGAAGTTGCCCATAAGTGAAGACATGACTCTCGAGTTCTAGATTAAATAAAAAGTAGATTCTGGTTACTGTTTTTAATAATATATAATTCAGGAGAATGTGATCTATGAACTATTATAGGTATACACATTTAAATAACAATGAAAGCTCTTGTAAAAAACAAACGAAACAAAATAAATACATCATAATAACTTCAAGTGAATCTAAAAAAGTATCCCCCTTGCAGAGCTTCATTGAATCTGTTGCTCTGGTGTGTTTCCTCTGCAGGTCACGGACAGACACACCTGTGGATAAGATGATGGGTTCAGATGGAGCTCAGAGTCTGCGTCCTGTCTCAGCGCCGGGCGAGGACGCACCGTCAGCCGACTCTGAGGACAGGAACGAGGTAAACTTCTGATATTTAACTCATTAGATGTTTTAAATGTGTACTGAACAAGTGTTTTCCTTTTGTTTCTAATGTCCCTATTGTTCTCCCTGATGGGTGTTGCCTACACTGAAGGCCTATATACAGTGGGGCAAAAAAGTATTTAGTCAGCCACCAATTGTGCAAGTTCTCCTACTTAAAAAGATGAGAGAGGCCTGTAATTTTCATCCTAGGTACACTTCAACTATGAGACAGAATGGGGGGAAAGAATCCAGGAAATCACATTGTCCATCCATCCATCTTCTCCCGCTTATCCGTGGTCGGGTCGCGGGGGTAGCAATTCCAGCAGAGAGCCCCAAACTTTCTTTTCCCTGGCGACATCAACCAGCTCTGACTGGGGGATCCCAAGGCGCTCCCAGGCCAGCGAAGAGATATAATCCCTCCACCTGGTCCTAGGTCTACCCCTTGGTCTCTTCCCAGCTGGACGTGCCTGGAACACCTCCCTAGGGAGGCGCCCAGGTGGCATCCTAACTAGGTGCCCGAACCACCTCAACTGGCTCCTTTCGACGCGAAGGAGGAGCGGCTCAACGCCGAGTCCCTCCCTGATGACCGAACTTCTCACCTTATCCCTAAGGGAGACACCAGCCACCCTGCGGAGAAAACCCATCTCGGCCGCTTGTATCCGCGATCTCGTTCTTTCGGTCATGACCCATCCTTCATGACCATAGGTGAGGGTAGGAACGAAAATGGCCCGGTAGACAGAGAGCTTTGCCTTCTGGCTCAGCTCCCTTTTCGTCACAACGGTGCGGTAAAGCGACTGCAGTACCGCTCCCGCTGCTCCGATTCTCCGGCCCATCTCACGCTCCATTGTTCCCTCACTCGAGAACAAGACCCCGAGATACTTGAACTCCTTCACTTGGGGTAAGGACTCATTCCCTACTTGAAGTGGACAGTCCATCGGTTTCCTGCTGAGAACCATGGCCTCAGATTTGGAGGTGCTGATCCTCATCCCAGCCACTTCACACTCGGTTGCGAACCGATCCAGTGAGTGCTGAAGGTCGCAGACCGATGAAGCCATTAGAACCACATCATCTGCAAAAAGCAGTGGTGCAATCCTTAGTCCACCGAACTGCAGACCCCCTCCCCCACGACTACGCCTCGAAATCCGATCCATGTATATTACAAACAGGATTGGTGACAAAGCGCAGCCCTGGCGGAGGCCAACCCTCACCGGAAATGTGTCCGACTTACTGCCGAGGACCCGGACACAGCTCTCGCTTTGGGAGTACAGAGATTGGATGGCCCTGAGTAGAGACCCCCTCACCCCATACTCCCGCAGCACCTCCCACAGTAACTCCCTGGGAACTCGGTCATACGCCTTCTCCAAGTCTACAAAACACATGTAGACCGGATAAGCGTACTCCCAGGCCCCCTCCAGGATCCTTGCGAGAGTAAAAAGCTGATCCGTCGTTCCACGACCAGGACGGAATCCGCATTGTTCCTCCTCAATCTGAGGTTCGACAATCGGCCTGACCCTCCTTTCGAGTACCTTAGAGTAAACTTTCCCGGGGAGGCTGAGTAGTGTGATGCCTCTGTAATTGGCACACACCCTCTGATCCCCCTTTTTAAAAAGGGGAACCACCACCCCGGTCTGCCACTTCCTTCGGTACTGTTTCCGACTTCCACGCAACGTTGATGAGACGTGTCAACCATGACAGTCCCTCAACACCCAGAGCCTTCAGCATTTCCGGGCGGATCTCATCCACCCCCGGGGCTTTGCCACTGTGGAGTTGTTTGACGACCTCAGTGACCTCCCCCCGGGAGATTGGTGTTGATCCCCCGTCATACTCCAGCTCTGCCTCTAACATAGAGGGCGGAGTTGTCGGGTTCAGGAGTTCCTCAAAGTGTTCCTTCCAACGCCCTAACACTCCATCAGTTGAGGTCAACAACGTCCCATCCTTACTGTACACAGCTTGGATGGTTCCCTGCTTCCCCCTCCTGAGGTGTCGGACAGTTTTCCAGAACAACTTTGGTGCCGCCCGAAAGTCCTTCTCCATGTCTTCTCCGAACTTCTCCCACACCCGCTGCTTTGCCTCGGCCACGGATGAGGCTGCTGCCCTTCGGGCCTGTCGGTACCTTGCAACTGCCTCGGGAGTCCCCCGGGATAACAAATCCCTGAAGGCCTCCTTCTTCCGTCGGACGGCTTCCCTGACCACCGGTGTCCACCAGGAGGTTCGAGGGTTACCGCCCCTTGAGGCACCTAGGACCTTGAGACCACAGCTCCCCGCCGCGGCTTCGGCAATAGAGGCTTTGAACACCGACTACTCTGGTTCAATGTCCCCAACCTCCACAGGAATGCCCGAAAAGCTCCGCCGGAGGTGTGAGTTGAAGGCCTCCTGAACTTGGGCCTCCTCCAGACGTTCCCAGTTCATCCGAACTACACGTTTGGGCTTACCAGGTCTATCCAGAGGCTTCCCCCGCCACTCGACCCAACTCACCACCAGATGGTGATCAGTTGACAACTCCGCCCCTCTCTTTACCCGAGTGTCCAAAACATACGGCCTCAGGTCCGATGATACGATAACGAAATCGATCATGGACCTTCTGCCTAGGGTGCTCTGGTACCACGTACACTTATGAGCATCCTTATGTTCGAACATGGTGTTTGTTATGGCCAATCCATGACTAGCACAGAAGTCCAGTAACAAAGCACCACTCCGGTTCAGATCAGGGGGGCCGTTCCTCCCAATCACGCCCCTCCAAGTGTCTCCATCATTGCCCACATGTGCGTTGAAGTCTCCCAGCAAGATTAAAGAGTCCCCTTCAGGAGCCCCATACAGGACTCTTTCCAGGGTCTCCAAGAAGGCTGTATACTCTGAACTGCTGTTGGGTGCATAAGCACACACAACAGTCAGAGTTTTCCCCCCCATAACCCGCAGGCGTAGGGAGGCGACCCTCTCGTCCACTGGGGTAAACTCCAACAACGAAGCACCTAACCGGGGACTTGTGAGTATCCCCACACCCGCCCGGCGCCTCACACCTTGAGCAACTCCGGAGAAGAATAGAGTCCAACCCCTATCCAGAAGTAAGGTTCCAGAGCCGACGCTGTGCGTAGAGGTGAGCCCAACCAGATCCAACTGGTAACGCTCCACCTTCCGCCCAAGCTCCGGCTCCTTCCCCCCCAGAGAGGTGACGTTCCACGTCCCCAAAGCCAGCTTCTGTCGCCCGGGTCTGGTCCGTCGAGACCCTCCGCTTTCACTGCCACCCTTCTGGCAGCGCACCCGACCCCATCGATGTTTCCCGTAGATGGTGGGCCCGCGGGACGGAGAAGCGGAGGTGTTGCCCACGTTGCCTTTTCGGGCTGGGCCCGGCCGGGCTCCGTGGCAAGCCCGGCCACCAGACGCTCGCCGACGAGTCCTCCTTCTGGGCCTGGCTCCAGAAGGGGACCCCGGGCTTCCTCCGGGCCGGGTATCCTCACTTCTTGTGTCGTCTTTCATGAGGTCTTTTGAACCAATCTTAGTCTGGCCCCTTGCCTGAGACCAATTTGCCATGGGAGACCCTACCAGGAACACAAGGTTCCAGACAACACAGCCCCCAGGTTCATCAGGGCACACAAACCTCTCTACCACGGTAAGGTGCTGGTTCCCCAGAGAGGAATCACATTGTAGGATTTGTAATGAATTAATTGGTCAATTCCTCCAAACAAACAAGATTTCTGGCTCTCACAGACCTGTAACTTCTTCTTTAAGAGCCTCCTCTGTCCTCCACTCGTTAACTGTTGTAATGGCACCTGTTTAAACTCGTTATTAGTATAAAAGACACCTGTCCACAACCTCAAACAGTCACACTCCAAACTCCACTATGGCCAAGACCAAAGAGCTGTCAAAGGACACCAGAAACAAAACTGTAGACCTGCACCAGGCTGGGAAGACTGAATCTGCAATAGGTAAGCAGCTTGGTGTGAAGAAATCAACTGTGGGAGCAATTATTAGAAAATGGAAGACATACAAGACCACTGATAATCTCCCTCGATCTGGGGCTCCACGCAAGATCTCACCCCGTGGGGTCAAAATGATCACAAGAACGGTGAGCAATAATCCCAGAACCACATGGGGGGACCTGGCCAATGACCTGCAGAGAGCTGGGACCAAAGTAACAAAGGCTACCATCAGTAACACACTACGCCGCCAGGGACTCAAATCCTGCAGTGCCAGACTTGTCCCCCTGCTTAAGTCAGTACATGTCCAGGCCCGTCTGAAGTTTGCTAGAGAGCATTTAGCTGATCCAGAAGAGGATTGGGAGAATGTCATATGGTCAGATGAAACCAAAATAGAACTTTTTGGTAAAAACTCAACTAGATGCTGAGTTGCATCCGAAGAACACCATACCCACTGTGAAACATGGGGGTGGAAACATCATGCTTTGGGGCTGTTTTTCTGCAAAGGGACCAGGACGACTGATCAGTGTAAAGGAAAGAATGAATGGGGCCATGTATCGTGAGATTTTGAGTGACAACCTCCTTCCATCAGCAAGGGCATTGAAGATGAAACGTGGCTGGGTCTTTCAGCATGACAATGATCCCAAACACACCGCCCGGGCAACGAAGGAGTGGCTTCGTAAGAAGCATTTCAAGGTCCTGGAGTGGCCTAGCCAGTCTCCAGATCTCAACCCCATAGAAAATCTTTGGAGGGAGTTGAAAGTACGTGTTGCCCAGCGACAGCCCCAAAACATCACTGCTCTAGAGGAGATCTGCATGGAGGAATGGGCCAAAATACCAGCAACAGTGTGTGAAAACCTTGTGAAGACTTACAGAAAACGTTTGACCTCTGTCATTGCCAACAAAGGGTATATAACAAAGTATTGAGATGAACTTTTGTTATTGACCAAATACTTATTTTCCACCATAATTTGCAAATAAATTCTTTAAAAATCAGACAATGTGATTTTCTGGATTTTTTTTTTTTTTTTTTTTTCTCATTTTGTCTCTCATAGTTGAGGTATACCTAGGATGAAAATTACAGGCCTCTCTCATCTTTTTAAGTGGGAGAACTTGCACAATTGGTGGCTGACTAAATACTTTTTTGCCCCATTGTATAGAGCAGTTTTGATGAATGATGTTCAGTTTGTTGTGTCTGAGTCATCCTCCTCCTGCGTGGCACTGTCATGGCTGCTTACAGCAATGCTGCATTATAGCTCTGTTGTCCTCTACCTCTTCATTTGCACTCTAAACCTTTGTGCATGTAGAAAAAAGGTTTGTGTATGCTGTATACAGACACATGGCAACAACAGTTACTCTTTCTTTGTAGCTTTTGTAGCTGATTATTTATGATGTATCCTCCTTATCTGAGTCATAACTCAAATCTGAACACACAGACATGACACACACATTCTTAGATTCAGTGTGACTTCCAAATGTCCATAAATCAGCTTTCCAATGTTAAAAGAAGGCCTCTAGTAGTTTTGGATTCTCCAGCCAGTAACAAAGGAGATGAGCAGAGCAGAAACAGGGGGAAATAAAATGTGGTTCTATGAGTCATTGCTCCCCTCATGTTGCCTGTAAACACGGTGTTAACTCAGTACCCGTCTCTGTGTAATCCTCCTCTGCAGCTCAGTGTGAAGCTAGTGCCTCTCCGTCACCCTAGAGACACAAAGAGGCCGTGAACAGAGTCTCTGTCTCCTCCCCTCTCTTTCTTGTTTTACTCTCTGCCCTCAATCCTGGGCACTGCCAGTGTCTCCCCCCTCACAATCATACAGTAGAACTGTTCCCATCAGATTGTGAGGACAGGAAGCAGAGGACAGAGAGGGGAAGTGACCTGTCCTCTGCTCTCAGTCTCACCCTCCTCCCCCCTCTAATACCTGAACTGACAGAAGAAACGTTAGAGCACAATGCTGCCTTTGAATAGAGTTAACAGCAGCTGGCAGTGGGTATGGTGGGGGGATATTACTCTTTGTGTGTGCTAAGTTTTCTGCACATGTCTGTGTGAATTTTAACATGCTAGTGTTCATATTTTCTACTGAGCCCTTTACCTGTTTGTTTTCATATTCAGAGCAAATCAGCTATTTAGATAAAATTGCCTCAAAATACACATATATTACCAGGTAGTTGTTCATGTACAAAGATGTTTGCATTGCCGTATTGGTGCATATCTTAAATAGAAAAACACATACAAAAAATAAATAGAAATATACATGAATTTGAAAAAATATTACAAAACATTTAAAACATTTCTGATCTTGATAGAATAAAATTACAAGAAAAAAAAAAAATTCTATAAAAATATGCTAAATATTCCTGACTTTAAATGGAAGAGCTGTGCAGTTTTGAGGAGTGAAAGTGTTGTGCAAAGGTATAGTATAAAAGGAATATGCACTGTACAGATACACAATATACAGTCCCAAAGATGTGTTAATGTAACGAGCAGAGAAGGATGTGAAGACCTTTGTGTAACGTGTGAAAAACCAACTTGAGTTTGGGATTTCTAATGACCCCATGTTCAACCCTCAGCTTCGTGACTCGACGGAGAAGTACGAGGAGTACTACAGGCAGCGCCTCCGTGTGCAGCAGCACCTGGAGCAGAAGCAGCAGCAGAGGCAGCTCTACCAGCAGATGCTGCTGGAGGGAGGGGTCCAGCAGGAGCCCCCGCCCAGCGACATGCAGCACAGCCTCACGGAGAAGTTCCTCAACAGGTACACACACACAGAAACCTGAAATGCTCCTCTGTCAGACAGGAAGTGTTCATCTGTATGTATAGACACCTGTCATGTCATATGGCAAACCTCTATGAAAAGCAATCTGTCACGCTTTTGTGTTTCAAGCTCGCTAATTATGTGTGGTGTTCAATATATTGGTACAATAGAGCAGCAGCTGTCAGACATGGAGAAATGGACATAATAAGGCCCTGTAAGTGATGAGCCCCATGTGGGGTTTCCTAGTACGACACACATCCCCCATAATGCCTTCAGTTCACAGTGCACCATCTGCCCCGGGATGGACTCATGGGACCACTGCACCTTGTTTATTAATTGTACACAATATCATTCTCAGAAATAGCACATGTACCTTGGCAACTTAAGCATGTTCCTAAACTATGGAAAAAGGATGCTTAGTTTAGAGTCTGTGACAAAAATGACATGTGTTATTTCTGCTGTGTCAGCAAGACAAAAGCTCTTTGATTTGTCCCCTGAGAGTCCCTCCTGTCCTCCCTCTCCCTGTAGCCTCTGCATTATTCACAAGGCTAGCTGTGAATAATTACATCATTACTTCAGTTTTCTTTTGTCCTCTGCCCTTTCAGTTTCAAACTAGAATTAGTCGGTCAACAGCAGTGTGTTGACTGAAAAGTAGAATTTGAAGTGGCTTTTTCTTTCTTTCTAAATGGCACGTAATAGGGCTTTATGAAATAGTTTGAAGGGTCATCTCTTCATAAATAAAGTTGACATTTACATTTTAATTCACCATTCTCAAGTTGCACAGCTTTGTCTATCTTTTTATTCTGTTAAGTGTGATCCAAACATTTTCAATGTCTCCAGAGCACAGTCCAAAAGTCAACATCTATTGAAAAAACAGGAAGATGTTATAATTTCTTAAATTCACATGATGTCTTCTAACTAAATATTCAGTTTCAATTCATCTTTGTTATGACAGAATATTGAATTAGTCTGCTGAAGTTTTAATTGCATTTTGGTCCCACCCTATTATGTATAAGAGTTCTATAATAAAATGAGAGAGGAAGAGGCACGGGCAAAAATAAGTAAAGACTTTCAGTGTGTGTGGTGTGTGTGTGTGTGTGTGTGTGTGTGTGTGTGTGTGTGTGTGTGTGTGTGTGTGTGTGTGTGTGTGTGTGTGTGTGTGTGTGTGTGTGTGTGTGTGTGTGTGTGGTGTGTGTGTGTGTGTGTGTGTGTGTGTGTGTGTGTGTGTGTGTGTGTGTGTGTGTGTGTGTGTGTGTGTGTGTGTGTGTGTGTGTGTGTGTGTGTGTGTGTGTGTGTGTGTGTGTGTGTGTGTGTGTGTGTGTGTGTGTGTGTGTGTGTGTGTGTGTGTGTGTGGTGTGTGTGTGTGTGTGTGTGTGTGTGTGTGTGTGTGTGTGTGGCCTAGCATTACTATACTTGTGGGGACCTAAATCTGTTTACATAGTCACGTGTGGGGACTGGCTTCCCTTATGAATTGGAGGTCCCCATGAGGGGAATCATTCATTTTAGGGTGAAGACTTGGTAAGGGTTACGGTTAGGCATGTGTTGGTTATGGTTAAGGTTAGGATAAGTCTCCAGTAAGTCAATGTAATGTTCCCTGAAGTGATGTATACATGGTGTGTGTGTGTGTGTTCGTTCCTCAGGTCCATCCAGAAGCTGGAGGAGCTCAATGTGGGGATGGATGATCTGGGAGAGGAGGTGAAGTCTCTGGCTCAGCAGTGTAATGGCAACGGGAACACCCCCGCCTCTGAGGACAATAACAACCCTCCACCTGTGAGCCCGGAGCAAACCAAAGAGGGAGGGGTGCTCAGCAGCACCCCTCAGCGCACCGTGGGGGGGCGCCCGGTCCCGCCTCCAAATGAGTCCCCTGTCGTCTCCCAGAGGTACTTTGGATAGGATTTATTTTTGTTTTTATACCAGAGTTGTTTTCAGTGTTAACATGTATGTATTTTTGTGCTTTTGCAGTGAGCCTAAACTGAAAGAAAGTCAACTAGATGACTCTCCAGGCTCCTTATCCCGAAGTAAAGAGGTAGATATGCCCTTTTTATTATTCATATCTTTATTTTGAACACACCTTTTCTCTCAGGTTAGCTGTTAATATTGTCTCTGAAACTTTTTTCTCGCACTCTCTGAACTTGTCTGATCAGATTTGAAAGTGGAGTAGATTCCTTGTTGGTTCGTCACAGTCCAAGCTCATGCTGCATCTAATTAGGCAGATTAAACAATGCTTATATCATAATGTGGCATCATGCTATTATAGATGTCATAGTGTCAGGATGATCAAAGTAGTTTACACTTCTAATTACATGTAATCTGTGTCCTCATGTGTTTTAATATGTGGGTGTGTTTGCAGGGCGACAAGACTAAAAGCCTGTTTGTTCCGGTTCATTCTCTGGAAGACACTCAGGCCATTCGAGCCGTCGCCTTCCACCCGTCTGGGTCGCTCTACGCTGTGGGATCCAACTCCAAAACACTACGCGTCTGTGCTTACCCAGACACGTTAGACACAAGGTAACACAGAGCTCAAGCCACTTATTCTCCTAATCAAGAGTAACCTGTTACATATGTATTTATGGTTGATTGTATGAAGCATCACAACAAAATTCACTGGCCATGATATCGTGTTGTGATCTTTGCATCCTGCATCCAAAACTGTGTCGAATATAGTTGATGATATTTTGAATCATAGCCAAGTTTTTCTTCTAAATATTAATTATTATTAACTATAACACCTTGTCTGTATAACATTTACATTATATGGTATCCTTCCTGTGATGGTAAACATGTATTCAACATGGTTCCTGAAATGTTTGGAGATACTGTTTTTACAACATTTTGAAATGATTTAGAAAATGTTCCTGAATAATATGCACCGGCAGAGAATTCAACGTGACCATGGATCTGCAGACCACTGTTCTCTGTATCATGAATGTGTTTTCCTTTAGTTAGTAAGAAGCTTTTTGATAATCTTCTCATCTATGTTGGTTAAAACGTAGAGGCTTAAAGTTCATTCCATATACTGTGTTGGACAAATTGGCCACATGTTGACTACATTTTTAGCATCTTCCTATTAACTTGTTTTGTCTCCTACCTGTCTTTCCTTGCCTCCTCTCCCCTTGTCCTCTCCTCAGTGGTTCCAGTCCCCCGAAACAGCCGGTGGTGCGCTTCAAGAGGAACAAACACCACAAAGGCTCCATCTACTGCGTGGCCTGGAGCCACTGTGGGCAGCTGCTGGCCACCGGCTCCAATGACAAATATGTCAAAGTCCTCCCTTTCAATGCGGAGACGTGCAACGCCACAGGTACAGACAGTGGATACTTGGGGGCGGGGCCTATTGGCACCTCAGAACCAGTCTCATGTGTGTTTATGTCTCTCTGTGGCCAGGCCCAGACCTGGAGTTCAGCATGCATGACGGCACCATCCGAGACCTGGCCTTCATGGAGGGTCCGGAGAGTGGAGGAGCCATCTTGATCAGCGCCGGAGCTGGAGACTGTAACATCTACACCACCGACTGTCAGAGGGGCCAGGGTCTGCACGCGCTCAGCGGACACACAGGTACACCATCCATCTGAACTGAAAACATGAAGGGGTCAGGGAGAGAGTGTGTGCGACCGGTGTGTGACGTGTCGTTTTTGTGTTGCTGTTCAGGTCACATTCTGTCTCTGTACACGTGGGGGGGCTGGATGATTGCCTCGGGCTCTCAGGACAAGACAGTGCGTTTCTGGGACCTCAGGGTGCCCAGCTGTGTGCGAGTGGTGGGGACTGCTTGCCTCGGCTCAGGTAAGGCCTGCGTGTTTTTTGACAAATAACTCCATCAATACTTTTTAAAAGTTTGAGCCAGAAGAAGAACCACTTCCACAATAGTTGCTGATGTTCTGCAAATAAATAATGATTAGTTATTTAATGATGACAATGACTCTCTTAGTGGGGATGGGACAATGACAGATTTAATCGTGGATAGATGGATAAATATGATTCTGGGGATTATCAGGCATCGTGATTAAAGCTGTCTAGATCTCTATAGATAGAGTAAAAAGCCTGATTTAAAAAATACAGGAATAATTATAGAACAGACTCAACATTTTCCTTTTCTATGTTTGTTGAACAAAATGTAACGAAAAGTGATTCCAGTAGTGCTATTTTAAAAGATGTAAGGGTATTTTGATGATTATCTGGGTAATATCAAGAATCGCAATTATTTTGGCATTGTTTCCTGTATTGTCCAGTCTTTGTCAGACCTGATAGATTTTAGTGGTTATCATGTCCAGGTTTTTACATCCACACCCTTTTTTTCCGCACAGGAAGTCCTGTTGCCTCGGTAGCAGTCGATCCTAGTGGCCGTCTCCTAGCAACAGGACAGGAAGACAGTGCATGCATGCTGTATGACATCAGAGGAGGACGGACCGTACAGGTGTATCGGCCGCACTCCAGCGACGTGAGATCCGTCCGGTTTTCCCCCGGAGCGCACTACCTGCTCACCGGCTCCTACGACATGAAGGTCATCGTCAGCAACCTCCAAGGTATGTCCCACATCTACCCACAAAGTATTTATTTATTTATACATACTGCTTTAATTGTGTTCCCTAACTACTGCAAGAGGATGCTTAGTTTAGAGTCTGTGACCAAAATGACATACATACAAGTTGTCTTTTTATGTAGGCTATCCTATTTTATACTCTGACCAAAGGGTCATGCATGTGTTTGAAAGTCATGTATTTTTGGGCACCTTTAATTATTATATTATATATTGTTTCAAAAGTTTTCTGTTTATTGTGCGTTTGTATACCATTGGAAATTGAATATCTTTGGAATTTGAAAACATTTCAATATAAAGTACAGTATGTACAGTATGCGATGAAAAAATTGTCACTATTGGAGATAAATATTGTAAAGTCATAGTATAGTACATCAGTTGAAAAAGTCATTGTGAAGTGTGACATAAAACAAATATTTTAAAAAGTAATTGTGAAGTTTGTCATAAAAAAGTCATTGTATAATAAAAAGTTGAGTGATATTTAATAAAGCTGTGTGTTTCTAGGCGACCTGACCAAGCCGCTGCCTCAGACGGTGGTGGGAGAGCACGGAGACAAAGTGATCCAGTGTCGATGGCACACAGAGGACCTGTCCTTCCTCTCATCCTCTGCTGACCGCACTGTTACACTCTGGACACACAACCCGTAACACACACACACACACAAACACGCAAAATGACACAAAACCAGTTATAATCTAAAAGACACGCGTCACCCCTATAACACTGCTTCTCTTGCACTCCCAACAGTCACTCCCTTTCAACACACTCCCAGCTTGAACAACACACACACACTCACACACACGTGAATGGGCCTTTCACTTGTCTGTAGGAAACCAAAATGGATTCAGGCCTGCGGCACATAAAAGCACACGTCTTGCATGCGTTTGTTTTTTTAAACATCACTCACATCTCATGCTTCACACCCAGTCACAACAGCAGGATGATCATTCATTATTTTCAGCGTCATTTCACCTACATCTCACTCCCTACACACACCAGTTTGTTGCTGCATGTCCTTTTCACTGAGGAGTTGTTGAGGTTAGACAGAACAGAGTGCTTTGTTCATGATGGTGCCTTCCTTGAGTTCTCAATTTCCATAACAAAATCGTTATAAAAAAAACGAACAAAGATAATATGGTCATTTTTAAAGATCAACATTTGTTGAGTTATCTCGAGAAGTCGTACATTCCTTCTTCTTTTGCATATCATTTTCTTACAGCTGCTGTATTGCTGCTATTGTTTGAGGAAGCGAGTTGAATTTATTGTGGAAAATGTATTTTTTGTCAGAAGTGAGCTTTCCCTATGCGGAATCTGTGGAAGTGATTCTGTTCCCTGTGGGATGTGCTGATGTCTCGTTACTGTATACTCTGCATTGCTACAACTCAAATGTGTAAAATAGCTTGTGCATTTGTTTTACATTTAAATCAGTGTTCTTGCTCTGAAGCTGTTACAGTGTGTTGCGATGGCTTGCTTGCAGTGGAAGATCAATATTATGTCAGCGTCAAAGGGAAATACTAAGTGTGATTTGTGGTTGAGAGTCCTAGCATTCAGGTTGGGAATCTTCAGTAAGCTTTGGTTAGTCTCCTGTAACACTTTAACGACAGTAGGGGGCAGTCTTTGCACGTACTGAGGCTCTAACCATATGCACAATGAAATCTGAAAGGAAGCACGGGTGTTTTGATATTTATTTAGAACCAGTATTTGGGGCATATGCATTGTACTATTCTTTTGTTTTTTACATGTGCACTTTTGTCTTTTAACATTGTGTTCTAGTACTGATTTACTTACAAAGATGCATATTTTATTTTGATGTATTGTATATATTGTTTTAACAAATAAGGCCAAACTAACTACGTACATAGATTTATTTATTTCAGTTGACTTTATGTATGTACAGTTATTGTTTTTGAAATGCTAGTGGCTGTTGTGTTTAGCCTTTCTAATTCTTGTTTTTAAAAAGTGACTTAAATGAATTCAAGCTAACTCAAGTCTGACTGCTGGTACGTTCAATAAAGTGTCTTTTACACAAGCTGGATCTTCTGTGTTAAGTGGAAATAAACAGTTCATTAAAAGAAAAGTCAAAACAAGATGCCTACATGGAAGAGGCTTTATTCCTCTGGCCAAGTACAAACAAACAAAGGGCTGTACAGGGGTTACATTCATTATTTTATCATACAGTTTGCTTAAAAATACTATTTTATTATTCTGACCGTGGTAACTTTTAGGCCCCCCTTTAAAAAAAACAAAATACATGGAAAGAGTGCAGCTCCTCCCTGACTCAGACACCACTTTGAGAAAACCACATTTTTTCATAGTGGTAGGACGGCAGTCATAACAATCATAAAAGTACAATAAATACAGACACAACTGTAGAAGCGTATTTAAAAATACACATGAAATGAAATTTGTACAAAAGGATAAAAAAACAACACTTTTGTCCCTGATGCTACGGAGAGTGCGAAACAAGTCCTTGTTAAATTGAGATTTCTTTACATACTTTGTACTAAATAGAATTCTGACAGTGCTTTGTTTTGTCCAAAAGGACTGAACACAAGGCTTTCTTGTGAGGGACCACCTGCAGGTCTTTCATAATGCTGTCCACACCTTCATGAGATGAAGGTGTGGACCCCCCCCCCCCGTAGTGCTGAGTTTAGGAGTTGGTGCTCGGCCTGGCTGTAGTGTTCGCTGCAGACGGGAGGGCGACTCGCTGCTCGTCCATCCGTTTGGCCTGAGAGCGCATGATGAGGCTGAAGAAGTCCTCGTCAGGTACAGTCGGACCTCTGATTGGAGGAGGGGGAGCGGCACAGCGCTGGTCATCCAAACGGGACCCCTGGTAGCACGGAAAAGAGCGTTTTGGAAGCACATTATAACTTATTTTGTATTCAATGTAAAGTAAAAACAAACTGTAGCTCTATATTTGGTCAGATCAGGTACCTGGCACTTGATGAGCATATTGAAGAAGTCGTCGTCAGGCTCGGCGTTGTCGGCGTTGGCCATCAGGTGGCTGAGCACCGCCTGGTTGCTGTTGTGATGGAGCCTGAGGCCGGGTAGGCTCCCCCCCGCTGCTGACGGCCCCTCTAACCGCCGGCCCTGTGCGCCTGAGACGTTGGCGGACTCTGATACAGCTGCAGAGTGGGAGAGACATTTTGAAATGACAATAGATAAAAAAGGAGACGCATTTCGGCAATCGAATGATTTTTAAGTCAAAAGGCAAGAATCTGCAGGTTTGATACGTGTTACAGAGGAGTTACTAATGGACATACTGCGATACTGTAAGTCAGTCGCTATATATTGCAATTCTTAAAACGTAACACACCAAAAATCTGAGCAAAATGTTGAATCCGAACAGTTGAATCCGAACAGTGGGATCTGCATTTGCATTTATCGCCATAACACTGATTACCCCATAAAAACATACTTTTATAAGGCTTGTGTATTTACAAATTAAATAAAGTATTGACGGAGTAAACTACTTATTAAAAAAATGATAATACATAACCAACAGAAGATACTCTTGATATTTTCTTACACCATTACTATTGAGTGTGGATGCATGGACTCACATTTCCTGATGACTGTGGGAGGCGACTCTGGGCCGCTGCTTAGCGATAACCGGCTGCCCTTATCCTGGATTGAACAGCGTTGGTCATCCATGCGGTTGCTCTGGAAACGGCTCAGCAGGTCGAAGAAGCCCTCGTCTCCCAGCATGTCAGGACTGAGTCTCTGATGGAGCACAGAAACAGGAACATGAAACACAGCTGAAGGGAACCGGCCGTCTGATGACAGCTGTGGGATACTGACTGAGATCTAGGCATTTGTGTAGTTATCAGCTGAGTACGCCCTGTGCTCTGTACCTTCTGTGGCCCCTGTGCGGGGGTCTGGCTGCTGTCCAGGGTGTTGCTGGTGTCCTGCAGGACCTTACTGGAGCCACCAGACTTGAACTTCTTCCCACGCAGACGGCTGACGAAGAACAGCTTGGAGGAGCCCTTCGTCATGGAGGGTTTGGACTGTTTGGTCAGGATGTCACTGTTCCACTTCTGTCCCTTCAACACACAGGAATGGATTATTACCACAATGCAGGGGGGGATTTGGGGTAAGAAAATAGACTTAGAGAATATCCAATAGAGGGTATCCAATAGATCCTTTATCATCTCCAATAGGCTTAGAGATGATAAAGGATCCAATCACCTGGTCAAAACTTGATATATATATATCTTGTTTTAGTGGCAAAGCATGAATAGGACAGAGAATCAAATGAGCACCCTGCGTGTGTGTGTGTGCGTGTGTGTGTGTGTGTGTGTGTGTGTGTGTGTGTGTGTGTGTGTGTGTGTGTGTGTGTGTGTGTGTGTGTGTGTGTGTGTGTTGTGTGTGTCATGTAACAGGAGAGGAGTTCTTACATTCATCTTGTCTGGAGTGAGTTTCATCAGCTCCAGGTTCTCCATGCTGTGTCTTCTGCCCATCCTGGGTCTCGCTCCTAAAACACATACAACAATTACAACACTATAAAACAGTAGTGAGTGACACAATCTCATTGTTGAAAGAAAACATATAACATATATCTCACCATGCAGGCTGTAGTCTATCTCCTTGTTCTCTGAGATAGTGGAGTTATTCGTGCTGTAACTCAGACCCAGAACCATCTGGAGATCAGACACGTTCATACGAGCCGTCAGCTCCCCCGTCCTGTCTCCAGTCTAAAAAGACAACAAACACACACATGGGGAATGTTACTGCTGAAGGATTCTTACCTGATTTGTTAAGAATCCAAAGTAAAAGTCTAAGCTAAGATTAAGGATATTTTACGCTGCTTTCATTAACATTGCGTACCTCTTTGCATATCTCCAGGTGTTTCTCAGCAAAGTGCATAGCTTGGTCATGGTTCCCCAGTGCAGTGTAAGCATTTCCCAGACTCCAGCAAGCACGGCCCTCCCCAATCCTACATCCAAAAAACACATTTAAATACACGTACTGGGTAAGCGAATGTGGCCATATAGTTTTGAGGGGAATTATTGCGTTAGTAAATGTGTGTGTACCTGTCATTGAGGTCCTGGGCTATGATGAGGTGTTTGAGGTGGTAGTCTATGGCTCTCTCATAATCCTGGAGAAGTGTGTAGGTGTTGCCCAGACTGTAGCAGGCCTGCGCCTCCACTGCTCGATCCTTCAGCTGCCTCGCCAGCTGCAGTGTCCTCCTGACAAACACACACACACACGAGCTGGTTCAAAATGCTGCTGACAGGCCCGGTCCACACGGAGACGAAAACGAACCGAGGTCGATATCAAAAAAGTCTTCCGTCCACACGGAATCGGCACAAGAAACGTGTCTGTCCACACGAGACCGCTCGACCCTCTGGAGACACTGTAGTACATATGCCGGGCCTGTGGCGCTGTATTTCTGCCACAAAATACTCCAAAAGCAGCGATTAAGACCCCGAGCATGGTTGCCATGGTTGCCCTTCTGGTTATTCTCCGCGGTGGATTTAGCGGAGAACTACATTTTAGCAACATGTAGTTCTCCATGTCCACTTGTTGCTGATGGTTGTGGTACAGGAGCTGTAGATGTTGCACTAACATCTGTAGCATGGTCAGTAGCGTCTGGAGCACGAAAGCAACCCTGTGATCCGCCATTGTTGTTGTTGTTGTAGGTGAAACGCATCAGCAATGACGCGGGTGACGCGGGGGTGAGCAGGAGAGGTGGGGAGAGGCGGGGCTATGATCGTTTAGGGCAGGGGTGCCCAACCGGTCGATCGCAATCGACCGGTCGATCGCGGGGATATTCCCAGTCGATCGCGAGATGTGTCTAAAAATAGAACAACAATATTCTGTTTTATCGTTAATGTCCTGTAACATAATCTTCCTGTGCCAGAATAATGCACTTGAACGCATCAAAGCTTTGTGATTGGCCGGCGTGACCCCATGTGTCGGGGCGTGGCTGGTGAGCAGTGGGCACTAGTTTGCTGACGTTGTCCGTGTCAACAGGAGTGACAGTCCGCGTCCGCACACACACAAGACCGCAATTACGGCAGAAGCAAAAAAGCCCAAAATATATAATGTTCACTCCGAGTGGAAGGATGATTATTTTTGTATCTATTCCAATTCAAAGTCCATCTATCTCATCTGCAATGCGAGCGTGGCTTTATCGAAGAAGGGTCAATTAGGAGCGGCATTTCAAAACAGTGCACAAACGCTAGGAGACGGAATTCCCTCCTAATTCTGCCCTACGCTCCCAAAAGGGGAGGGGCCTGAAAGGACAGCTAAATGCACATCAGTCCATTTTCACCAGGCCCAACAACAAGAGCAAGGCTGCTACCAGAGCATCTTAACGTGTCGGTCACGTTCTTGCCAAACACATGAAGTCTTTCAAAGACACCGAAGTTGTGAAAGAAGCTTTCCTGGAGGCTGCCGACGCGCTTTTTAGGGACAGTAAAAATAACAGTAGCATTTCAACAGGTTTTTGATATAATAAAAACTCAAGTTAGATACCGTTATTAATCAGCTGTAAGTTTTAGTTTGTTTGAACTTATTCATTATAATTATTGTACAAAATGGTATAAGAATGCAAACTTAAATTGATTATAGTCTATTATCAATTCAGGTTAAGAAACTAGTGTTGCTTGCATCCTATTTTAAAAAAGGCATTTATTTTTATAATCTACTAAAATGCAACAAAAAAAGGGTTTGATTCTATTAATTTTGTCTTTTTTATTGCACGTTGGCAGCAGATTCCTGTGTAGCTTCAGATCTGAGTTGTCTTATTAGTAAGCCTCATTTATACTTTTGTAGCAACACTATTTTTATATCATGGCAAAGAAAGGGTTCAGAGTCTTTTCTTCTTCTTCCCTGTGTCATATGTGGCAGCACTGTTCAATGTTTCTTGAAAACATTACCCACTGTAGTATGTGACGTGTGAATAAACTCAACTCTGCATCAACAACACTGTTGTGTAACTTCAGTTAAATACTTGTATGTGTGTAGATTAGAAAGAGGTAAGATAAAGCATCTGCAGTATTTTATGAAGTATTCATCGTACAA